TCCACTATTATGAGAACAATGGAAAGATATCTTTTTCTGTTATCACTTCCAGAAAAACGTGTTTAAATTAATTGAATTTAAGACCAGAAGAAATACAGATCACTGGTACTACGTAGTAGTAAGCCAAGATTTAAAAAATAATGATTTCTTTCATTACATAACTGATATTTTCAGTGAAATAAATGCTATTTAGTATGTTGATAAAGTAATTATTTACATTTCTATTTATCTCATCATTTCAATATTTATATTATTTGTGTCCCATAATATACATCCCTAGAACAGTCCTGCATGTGTATAATTTATACAAAAACACATATCCATAAAACAGGGAGGCATGCTCAAATTTTTTTTCTGTTATGTTGTTATCTAGAGGAGCAGTATCAGGATAGAAATAGATTTGGGCACGTGTTTTAGGTTTTTGCACATTACCTAATTGTACATTGCCTAAATTGATTCTATTTCAAAAACCAATTTCTAGACTGAGCAAGGTGGCTCATGCCTGTATCCCAGCACTTGGGGAGGCCGAGATATGTGGATCACTTAAGGCCAGGAGTTTGAGACTAACCTGTCCAACATAGTGAAACCCCATCTTTATTTCAAAAATAAAAAAGAACCAATTTCTGTAAGCCAGCTTTTACTGTGGGACAAACTACCTCAAAATAGTGGCTTAAAACAATCACATTTTGTTGACTCACAGTTCTGTTCCACCTAGCAAAAGCTGTGATCATACGCTAGGCTGAGTACAGGAAGTAACTGGGCTGTGCTGGGAGGTCCAGGAAGGCTTCATCACATGTCTGCTACTTCAGACCCTCTCTGTTACACCTTTGGCTTCCTCACAGCATGGTTGTCTCAAGGTAGTTGGACTTTTATTAGTCCATTTTCATACTGCTATAAAGAACCCTTGCAGACTGGGTAATTTATAAAGAAAAGAGGTTTAATTGACTCGCAGTTCTGCATGGCTAGGAAGGCCTCAGGAAACTTAAAATAATGGCAATGGCACTTCTTCACGGGGCAGCAGTAGAGAGACTGAGTGCCAGCAGGGGACATGCCAGACACTTGTAAAACTGTGTTTACAGATCTGGTAAGAGCTCACTATCACAAGAACAACATGGAGGAAACAGCCCCCATGATTCAATTACCTCCACCTGGTCCTGCCCTTGACACATGGGGATTATGGGGATTATAATTCAAGATGAGATTTTGGGTGAGGACACAGCCAAATCTTGTCAGACTTGCCTTGACTGCTGGCATTCAGGAAGGAACAGCCTAAAAAGAGCAGAAGCTGCAAAGACATCATTTTGGAAGTTGCACGACACCATTGAAACAGCATTCTATTGGTGAAACCGGCCAAAAGTCCAGTCCACAGTCGAGGGGTGGGGGAGATGGACCTCATATTTCAATGGGAGGAGTGGCAAAGAATTCAATTTTTACAGAATAACAAATTGCACATTGTTATGTTTGTGAGATTCATCCATATTTTGTTGCTGTTGCTTTTTTTTTTTTTTCCAACACATAGTCTCGCTCTGTCGCCCAGGCTGGAGTGCAGTGGTGCGATCTTGACTCACTGCAACCTCCACCTCCCGGGTTCAAGCGATTCTCCTGCCCCAGCCTCCCAAGTAGCTGGTGCACGCCACCATACCCAGCTAATTTTTTTGTATTTTAGTAGAGATGGGGTTTCACCCTGTTGCCCAGGCTGATCTCGAACTCCTGAGCTCAGGTAATCAGCTTGCCTCAGCCTTCCAAAGTGCTAAGATTACAGGCACGAGCCACTGTGCTTGGCTCATTGATTCTGTTGTATGTAGCAGTTATTCACTTATTTCATTACTGTATTCCATTTTATGACTGTATTACAGTTTGTTTATGCATTCTCCCGTTAACATTTGCTTGTAATATTTTGCTATGATAAAGCTTTATGAAAGTAATCGGACATGCCTTTTGGTGACCATATGCGTATGTATATGCACTCATTTCTCTCGGGAATATATCTAGGAGTGAAATTGCTGGGTTATAATTAGCATATATATAGCTCCACTTCTAAGTAATTTTCCAAAATGCTTCTGCCAATTCACACACCCATCAGCAATGTAGAAAAGATTCAGTTTATCCATATTCAGTTATCCATATCCTTGATATTTGCAGTCTTTTTAATTTTAGCCATCCTGGTAGGTGTGAGGTGGTATCTCATTGCTCATTGCAGTTTTTTTTTAAATTTAGATAGGGTCTTTGTCACCCGGGTTTAAGTGCAGTGGCTCCATCAAGGCTCACTGCAGCCTGGAGCTCCAGGTCTAAGCCATCCTCCCACCTCAGCCTCTCAAGTTTTGATAAAACCTTATGTTTCCTCACATGAGCTTCTGGTCTACGAGCCACAGCTTGCTTTATTCTACCTTTATTTTATTTTTTTATTTTTGAGACTGAGTCTTGCTCTGTTGTCCAGGATGGAGTGTGGCAGCATGATCTTGGCTCATTGCAACCTCTATCTCCTGGGCTCAAGCAATTCTCCTGCCTCAGCCTCCTGAGTAGCTGCGCCACCATGGCCAGCTAATTTTTGTATTTTTAGTAGAGATGGAATTTCACCATATTGGTCAGGCTGGTCTTGAACTCCTGACCTCATGATCCACCCACCTCAGCCTCCCAAAGTGCTGGGATTACAGGTGTGAGCCACCACACCCAGCTGCTCGTTGTGGTTTTAATTTGTATTATTCTTCTTTTTTTTTGAGACAGAGTCTTCTTCAGTTGCCTAGGCTGGAGTGCATGCAATGGCACCATCTCAGCTCACTGCAACCTCTGCCTCCCAGGTTCATGCGATTCTTATGCCTCAGCCTCCTGAGTAGCTGGGATTACAGGCATGCAATACCACACCCGGCTAATTTTCGTATTTTTAGTAGAGATAAGGCTCTGTCATGTTGGTCAGGCTGGTTTCGAACTCCTGGCCTCGAGTATCCACCTGCCTCAGCTTCCTAAAGTGCTGGGATTACAGGCGCAAGCCACCACACCTGGCCTATTTTTTTCTTAAAAATTTGGTAGAATTTACCAGCTATGCCATTTCAGGGAATTTTTTTTTTTTAACTCATGGAGTCAATTTCTTTTTTTTAACTCATGGAGTCAATTTCTTTTTTTTTTTTCCTTTTCTTGAGTCAGAGTTTCACTCTTATTACCCAGGCTGGAGTGCAATGGTGCGATATCTGCTCACCGCAACCTCCGCCTCCTGGGTTCAGGCAATTCTCCTGCCTCAGCCTCCTGAGTAGCTGGGATTACAGGCACGTGCCACCATGCCCAGCTAATTTTTTTGTATTTTTAGTAGAGACGGGGTTTCACCATGTTGACCAGGATGGTCTCGATCTCTTGACCTCGTGATCCACCTGCCTCGGCCTCCCAAAGTGCTGGGATTACAGGCTTGAGCCACCGATTGTTCAGATTTTCTATTTCTTCTTGCATATCTTTTGATAACTTGTTTTTCTAGGAATTTGTTCATTTCTTCCAAGTTTTCACATTTATTGACCTAGAGTTGCCTTTTTAATGTGTGTGGTATTTGTAGTGATATCACTATATATTGGTTAGTGATGTCACTGATAACAGTTTATTTTTATTTTCTTAGTCCATTGCTCAGACTAGAGCACAGTGGTCTGATTATAGCTCACTGCAGCCTTAAACTCCTGGGCTCAGGCAAACCTCTTGTCTCATCCTCTCAAGTAGCTAGGACTGCAGGTGCGCACCACCAAGCTAGGCTCTTCTTTACTTTTTGGTCAGTCTTTCTAGAGTTTATCAAATTTATTTGTCTTTTGAGAGAGCTAATGTTAGTTTGTTAAGACTCTCTTCTTAAAAATTAATCTTTTAGGCTGGGCGCGGTGGCTCACGCCTGTAATCCCAGCACTTTGGGAAACCAAGGTGGACAGATCACTTGAGATCAGGAGTCCAAGACCAGCCTGGTCAACATTTCTAGTAGAAACCCTGTCTCTACTAGAAATACAAAAATCAGCCAGGCATGGTGGCTTGTGCCTAGAATCCCAGTTACTCCAGAGGCTGAGGCAGGAGAATTGCTTGAATCTGGGAGGTGGAGGTTGCAGTGAGCTGAGATTGCATCGTTGCACTCCAGCCTATAGCGATGAGGTCTACCATGTTGGCCAGGATAGTCTCCAACTCCTAGACTCCAGCAATCCTCCGCCCTTTGCCTCCCGAACTGATGGGATTACAGGCACCAGCCACCACACCAAGCCTTTGTGAAGCCTCTCTATCGAAGTTTGCTTTCTTTTTTCCCCTTTTTCTGTCTTTTTTTCTTTCTCTTCTATTTTTCTTTTTAAAAAATTTCCTTCATCCCATTATTCTTCAGTTTAACCTTTTTTCTAACTTCTTGAGATATATTATATCAAAAATCCTCTTCTCGGTGAAATCTTGAACATTCCGTTTCAGACTGAAACCACCTGGTTGCTCCCATTCTTTCGTCTTTTTCTCCTTGGCACTCATCACAATTTAACATATCACGTATTTTCCTTATTTATTTTTTTCTCTCCCCATCAAAATAGAATCTCCATGAAGGCAAGGGCTTTTGTTTACTTCGTTCACTGCTGAATCCCCAGGACCCAAACCAGTGCCTGTTTTATTAATAAAACAAGGAATGAATGTGTTCAATGAAGAAACAGTCAGAGCTAAATTTACTAAGCAATTGCTGAGACTCAGTTACATTTATTTATTTACTTTTTTAGAGAACGGGTCAGGCTTTGTTGCCCAAGCTGGTCTCCAACTCCTGACCTCAAGCGATCCTCCCGGTTTAGTCTCCCAAAGCACCAGGATTACAGGCGTCAGCCATCACACCCGGCGGAGACTCAATTATAAGGGGCCCACAGATAACATCTAATTCTTACAGAGGAAACTGAGGCACAAGTAAGCAAGAGAGCCGTGATTAGAAACCTAGGTCTAACTCACAGCCCGTGAGTTTTCCTCCAAGCCCCGATTCTTCCCCTTAAAAAAAGCCAGCGAGGGGCGAGACCCGGAGGGCAGAGCCCGCGCTCGCGAGCCCGGCCCTGCGCAGCACCCCCAGCAGCCTGATAAGCAACTCGGTCTCGGAACGAATGACCGTCGAACAGAGTTGGATCGAATCACTCAGCAGTAGGCGTCGCCCACTTTCTTATTGGTTAGTTTTGGTTTCCAGAAGTAGTAGGAAAGGAAGACAGTCTGCGAGGGGGCTGCAGGCTTTGCTGAGCCTCGTCCCCGAATGCGTGGTTTCGCTGCCGCGCAGGCGCACGGAATCCTAAGTCCGGGGCTTGCGTTTCCGGCCGGAGGGCTTCTCCCGCCTCTCCCGGAAGCTGCTCTCGCTACTCGGGTAACGGGTCCCGGCGGTGGCAACTGCCGCGGCGCCGCGATGGACCTCGAGGAGGCGGTAAGGAGGCGGTGCGCCTGGCGGGCCCTGACTGTCGCGGCCGGAGGGAAGAGAAGCTGAGGAGGAGCGGCGGAGGCTTTGGGCTGGGGCGGCCACCGGTTGGAGGAAGGCGGGGCGCAGGGCTGCGGGGCGGGGTGAGGTCTGGGGCTGGCTGGCCGCGCGCGCGCGCGCGGCTTTGGTTAAAAAGGCTGGAGTTTCTGGCTCGGCGAGGTTGTGGGTGAGGGAGGGTGTGGTGTTTTTCGTTATGGGTGTGTTTAAGGTTGAAGTTGTGGGTTTTGTGGGGTGGCCACCCACCGGGCTCATCCTCTCGAGACTGGACCACCTACAAGTTCCCTTTGATGCTGGGGTGGGTGAGGGAAGGGCAGGGCTTGGAACCTGAGATGCCTCCTGGTAACCCCTGTCTGTCTTTCTGGGAATCCTCGCCACAGTCTTCTGCAGGGATTCTAGATTAAGATTTGGGAACTCCCCAAATTGTCCAGCTCACTGCAACCTCCACCACCCAGGTTCATTCGTCGTAGTGTTAGTACGGGGTCACTGAACACTACCAAGTTGCCAAAATTAATTTGGCATGCCTTTTTTTTTTTTTAAGCTACTGCGTAAAATGACACATTTTCGTTATTTCTTTTTGAGACAAGGTCTCACTTTGTCCCCCAGGCTAGAGCGCAGTAGCAAGATGACGGCTCACTGCAGCGTTGACCTGCTGGGCTCGAGAGATCCTCCCGCCTCAGCCTCCCAATTAGCTAGGACTACAGACGCGAGCCACCACTCCTGGCTTATTTTTTCTTATTTTTTGTAGGGGCGGGGGTCTCGCTATGTTGCCCAGACTGGTATTGAACTCCTGGGCTCAGGTGATCTTCCTGCCTCAGCCCCCCAAAGTGCTGGGATTACAGGGGTGAGCCCCCGCACTCAGCCAGATGGCACACACACTCTTTGATGGTATTAAATGATACTCGATAAGATCAATGCTAATAACAAGTCAAACTCCATAGAGTTGGGAATCAGAGAATTAGGTCTGTATATACAGAAGCAGTACTATCTTATAGTAGATGCCCAAAAAATATTTGTTGAATGGTGGGTGGCTAACTTCTGTAAATGCTAGGCTGATGAATTAATAATTGTAACTCACCATTAGCTAGTGTATTCCCAGACTAGGGACCATGTCTGTTTCGAATCCCTAGCACCTAGAAAAATGCCTAGTACGCACATAGTTGATTCCTTACGTTGCCGAGTGGATAAATCATAACTTGAAACTAGTACAAATCTAGTTCCTCTGTGGCATGTGCTTTTAGTGTCCTGGAAGAGTTCCAAATGGTATTCGCATTTTTAAAAAGTCTTCTCTCTGCTTGTTTGTCATCTTTCTCACAGCATTTTCAAGGAGCTTTGTTTACTCATCTTTGTTTCCAGTTTATCCCATTACCTCCTTTTCTCTTTTTTCCTCTCTACATATTTCAGTAAATTTCCTCCAGTAGTTTAATTTGGTTTCATACCACCCCTCTCCTTGTTTGCAGATAATCTCTCTGATATATTTTCTATTGTCTAAGATTTTTTATTTATAAAGTCCCCAGGAACCCACTGCAGTATAATGCACTCAATGTGGCTTGATGGGAACACCTTTTCTATCCTCTTCTCCCATAGGAAGAGTTTAAAGAACGTTGTACTCAGTGTGAGGCTGTCTCATGGGGTCTTACTGATGAAGGCAAATATTACTGCACTTCCTGCCACAATGTTACAGAGGTAAGTAACAAACACCATTTATGAATTTGCATATGTTTTAAAAATTGCTGTTTCAGCCTGATATATAGTCTAAGTCCCAAAGAATTTGGTTGATTCTTGTCACTCGTGCAATGCCAAATTTCCAAGGATGCGAGTGGTCTTAGGTACTTACACATAGGTTAAGGAATTTGTGAATTAGATTGAGGATGACTTTTTGAAATTATGTTGAGTCATGTTTATAAATGACCTCTTATTCAGAGTGTTGGTTGAAGGGAAATAATTAAAGTTGTACTTAGAAGATGATACATTTCTTTTTATTAGTTAGTACTTACTTTTTTTTAATGTGTCATGGTGGCTTAGAGGTTTGGAAGATAGAATGTTAGAAAGCTTGAGGATTGTTGGGAATATTTTGGAACTATGCTTCATTATCCTGTTATCTTTGTATAGTACCTTATAGATTGCAAAGTGTTTTTTGGCTCCGTTACTGCATTTCCTCCTCATCACAAACTGTGAGAGGTACTGTTACGCCTGTTGATAGGGCTCACAAGTTGAGCGAGTTTGCCAAAGTTATGCAAGTACCGAGTGTTCAGTCAGGACCTGAATGTAATGTGAGTCTTCTGTCTTCAGTGTTCGTTTTACCCATCACACCTGCCTCTTAAAGTAGAGATTGTCAAACTGTCCTGTGTAACCTTGGAAACAAGCCCACCTTCACACTGTGAGTGCTAGGTCCTATTGTGAATACACCTGCAGGCCAGCATCACCAAAATAATCAAGGGGGTAGACAGTCTGCTACTGGACAGGCTAAATGTGCCAGGACTCTCCTCTGGGGGAAAGGATTTCCTCAAAGTCTACAGAGCCAGGAAGGAACAAACGTTACCTTCACCATACAGGCTTAAGAAAGGCAAATTTGGAACAAGTAAATGTAACCGAGTAGACTTCTGCTTCTGGCTAAGATGGAGTAACAGAGACCCGATTTACTTTTGTTCCTTAAACAACGAAAAACCTGGACAAAATATATGAAGTGAGTAACAGGAAAAAATTTTTTCCTTGAAAAAGCTGGTGAATTGAGCTTGCAAGTCTGTTACACAAGTGCTTGTCCTTGAGACAGTGTTCTTCAGTCTGCAGCCAGAATGCTTAGCTCTGCTTCCTATTTAGTCACACAGAACGTTAGAAAGATCTGTACTCACTCGATGAAATTGTTGGGGTGATGGAGATATTTGTTGTGTTGATTATAGTGATGGTTTCGTAGTTTGTGTGTGCGCGTGAGTGTGTGCATGTCTGTGTATGTCAGATTGTGCACTTGACAGATGTACTGTTTGGTCCTCACCTTCAGTGTGTAGTGAGGAGCTGGCAGTTTTACTCTTGCTTTTGTACTGTAATGTAGTTATAAACACAGTGAAGAAAGAGTTTGTTTAATGGAGCATTTGCCATTAGTAGTTGAAGTCAGAGTACTGTTTTTATGGGAATTGAACTACATTAACTAATTGCTTTTCTAGTTCTGATTTTGATAATGTTTCCATTTGATTCTGTTTGGTCAAATCTGCTGCAGTCATTTTTTAGTTTGCAAGAATCTGATACCACTACCTAGCTCCCCATTTGAAAGACTATCAACCCGTGTGGAGTAACTAGTCAAGAATGGAGAGTTCATGAAGGTGGACAACATCTTTATAAAGATCAAGAACCTAGCTCACTGCCTTCCTCTCAGACGATAGGCTTAAAGGAAAAAAAAGTTCTGTGTTGCACAAATTCAGTAGTTATTCTTGTCTTTCTGGAGATCCAGCCACGTTCTTCACATAGAATGTGAGAAAGTGATGTAGTTGGGGCTCCCTGGAGTTGGGCAGTGTGGTGATGTTGAAATACAGTGAGCAGGGAATGGCCTGTGAAACAGTTACAGCTATGGAAAATGGAAGTCATGGTACAACTTGCCCTGTCTCTCTGCCCCTTTTATTGCCCTCCCTCTTCCTCTGTATATAACTCTCAAGCTTTGGGCACACTGCAGTCTGGGAAAGGCCTTCCAAATTGATAAAGGAACCAAAATGTTATCCTGGTATATTTTATCCAGGAAAAAAACTGTAAAGTCATAAATCTGTTGAATTTAGACAATAGATACTTTTGCAAGAGTTTCATGAGTATTTAAAAAGGTATAGGCTAGACTTGTATAATTTTAATAGATTTTTATGACTATAAGAGCAATGTATAATTATTATAGAAAATTTGGAAATTATGAAGCTGAAAGCTAAAATCACCAGTAATCTCTATATCTGTCTCTTTTTTCCTATGTATGAAATGGAGAAAGTGATGTGTGAGTACTGTTCAATCTTTTGCCTTAACAATTTGGAAAAATACTTGATCTAAACATTTGCAGGCATTGTTATAGATTGTAAATATTCCAGAATCGCCATTCAGTAATTTAATTAATTATAGCTCTGGTTTTAGATGTTTCACTTTTTCATGTTTTTTGCTTTTTCACATCATGTGTAGTACAGATTTTAAGTGTTTTTTTCTGGCTACCCTTTATAAGTTTTACTTATCCTTGCTAGATGACAGCTTTTATATTTATTCTGATGTGTCTTACGTTCTCAGTGTGGCCCACCCAGTATGCCAGAATTGCTTTGAATATGGGGCCTGCAATCCCAGCTACTTGGGAGGCTGAGGCAGGAGAATCGTTTGAACCCGGGAGGCGGAGGTTGCAGTGAGCCAAGATTGCGCCATTGCACTCCTGCCTGGGCAACAAGAGCGAAACTACGTCTCCAAAAAAATCAAAAACAAAAACAAAAAAAAGACTCAACACTTTATTTTTAGTTGTGGGGGAGCCAGAATCTTTGATACTTGTCATTGAGAGCAGTTGGGATTGAAGACTCTGGTATGAATTATACGAAGCATTTTAGTCATTCTAAAATTCTATAAGTTTAATTAAAAATAAAATGTAATGAGTACTTTCATAATTTCAGAAATGAAAGCAATTTTAGAGTATTATTCAAGGACATGGAAAAGAAGGCCAAAACTAATCTGTCTGTAGGTTAGGCATTACCAGTTACAATAAATACATTAAATTATTTTAATACTGAAGTGTATTTTGTGTGGAGAAAAAAGTGAGTAAATTTGACTTTTGGTTTGTAAAAGTTAAAAAGTGATTTAAAGTAAAAGTTTATTCATTTAACAAATACTTTATGGTTACTGTATTCCAGGCACTGTTTTAGGTAATGAGAAATTTTGAATCAAGAAACAATAGAAAGATTAACTAGAATGTTAAAGATTTATAATTTTCCCAAGATTCTACCATCCTCAGTCCTGGCACTCACAGTTTGGTTCATTAGAAAATGCTTGGAAAAATGCCTCAGGGGATGTAAAACTGTCTTTTTAATGGTCTTGTTCTGTTTCCTGTAGAGATCTAAGGAAGTTATAAACAGTGATATTATTCCTAATGCCCAGATAAAAGCCCTCAACCGGGGGCTTAAAAGGAAAAATAACTCTGGTAAGTGCTTTCTTCACATGTGCTTAACATTCTTTATTCACATCTTTCACTTTCATGATGTGAGACATGGAATGGAATTTCAAGTAGATTTTAGAGAAAATGACAGGTTTTATCTACTGGCATATGTTCTTCTATGTCTGTTATTAATTGTGGTGAATATGATCTCCTATGCTTTTATAGAAAAAATACTTGTTTTCTGAAATAATTCAACGGTGGAATTGTTAGGAAGTTGAATACAATATTGAGCTTCCAGAAATCTGTTTCTCATATTGAATTTTTAACACACCCATTGGGAAAATTATTTTCCCTTAAAATGGCCCCAGCATAAGTGTGCTTAAAAAGGTAAAGTATTTTATTAATCCGGTGAGTCCATAAAATTAACCATTATTGAGAAGGATCTTAGGTAAAGTGTAACTGATGCTTTTTGTTTTTGTGACTAAGTACATAGGACCAAATTCCCAAGTTTGAAATGAGGCTAATGATAATGGGGACTCTTCTATATGAGAAGGATACACACACATTAAAAAATATATATATATTTATTTATTTATTTATATGTGTGTGTTTATGAAATAGTTACAAAATACATTGACATTCTGTTTTTTTTTGAGATGGAGTCTCGCTTTGTTGCCAGGCTGGAGTGCAGAGGTGGCACAATCTTGGCTCACTGCAGCTCCTGGGTTCAAGCGATTTCTCTGCCGCAGCCTCCCAAGTATCTGGGACTACAGGTGCATGCCACCATACCCAGCTAATCTTTGTATTTTTAGTAGAAACAGGGTTTTACCATGTCGGCCAGATGGTCTCAATCTCTTGACCTCGTGATCCTCCCGTCTGGGCCTCCCAAAATGCTGGGATTATAGTCGTGAACCACTGTGCCCGGCCACATTGATATTCTTAGATGAATAACAGTGAATGCCTAAATGCTATTTCATGTTTCTGTTTAGCCTTTAGTAGTGACTGTTTTTATTAGGCTAAAACCTGATTAATTTTTGTTAAATTTTGTCAGAGTAAAACCTGATTAATTTGGCCTTGACCTATTTAAATAGTTAAAATGTATAGTTTGGACGTACATTTCTTAAGGAACCTCAGGTGCTTTTATTAGGTATTAAGTGTACAGTCAACCTCATTGCCCTTCATTTCTTCATTTGTAAAATGAGAACAAAATATCATCCATTATGGAAAATAGGAACACAGACTCAGAATATAACCATATCAGTTTCTAAGAACAGTTATGCAAAATATAACCTTATCAGTTTCTAAGAACAGTATGCAAGAAGAAGAGGGAGTATATGCATATAGCTTGAAGAGTTTAAACCTCCTTTACTTATATACCCATCAAAATTATTGGCTTTTCTATTAGACTCTTACAACCTGAGACCCTTCTTGGGAAAGAATTGGGTCATTCAGCAGGGATGGGGAGACTTTGTGACATTCAGGTAAGGGAGAAGAGTTGAATCCTCTGGCATTCTGCAGAGAAGAAATCTTGAAGTCAGTAACAGACCTCAGAAGCTCCATGTAAAAAGGACTGATAACAAGCTTTTGGAAGAGTTACAGTATTTTTCCAGTGGTGAGGGGTAAAACATAAGGGTCTTCACAGACTTTTCCTTCAGCTGGTAGTTGTCGTTAAACATGTAACCCTGTCTGTTGTGGTGGCAGGTTTCTTCACAATCTCTCCTAGGGTGCTTTTGAGTATTCAAGAAAATAACCCACTTGAAATACCCAGCATACACTTGGCACTGGGCTGAGATCAGTATTAGTACCTTGCTTTAATTTTCTCCTTATAACCTAGAACCATTTCAGAAAAAGCAAAATGCCACTGAGCAGTTTATTTTCTTTGAACGTTCTTATTGTCATTTCTACACTCCTGTATCATGAGATCTTGACATTCATTCATTCATTCATTACAAGTTCACTCTTCCCTTGTGAGATGCAACAGAAAAGTAGTGGAAGCGGTGACTGAGTATTTTTATTTAGGATTTTGCTGGGCATCGTTCAGGAAAATACACATTTTTAAAACTTGTTTCACTTTTTTTAACATGGTGACTATTCATTTTTTTACCTTTAGGTTAGTATTTCAGAAAAAATATATATAATGGAAAACATTTGAAATCTGAAATTATATAAAATATTTAGTTTCAACATTTGGTTACACATTTGCTAGGTTGTAAACAAGAGACTATAAGAATGGAAACCTTTTTCAATGGTACAAAAATTTCAAGTCACTAAGCTGCTAAGTTGTGGGTTAATTTAAAAAAAAAGGAAAAATTCAAGTCATAATGTGTAAAACACAAATTGTAACTGTAGTAGCATTAGACTTAGTAAATTAGGATTGCAAATGCTAAAATGTGCTATTTGTCATTTAGAAAAAGGCTGGGATTGGTATGTGTGTGAAGGTTTCCAGCACATTCTTTATCAACAAGCAGAAGCCTTAAAGAACCTTGGAGTAGGCCCAGAGTTAAAGGTAAATACATTTGTGACTCGATGCTAATTTTACATACTATTCTTAAAGAACAGTAAGATTTAGAGTGGAACGAAGGAGAAATCAGTAATAATACTAGGGCTGCTGGAAGAATACTTTTTCTGATGTTTTTGCTTTAATCCTTTCAGTAGGCCAGCAATTCTGGAAGTGTGTTCTACAGGATGTAAATAAGCAGTTCATCTGAAAGAAAAATGTAAAGGTTTTAGTCTTCAGGTACTTGGGAAACAACAGGTTAAATAAAGTAAAACTCAAATAACTTTGGGGGTTTATTAGTGCCTTTTTTGTGTTAATGTGCTTGTTTAATTTCCAGGGAACGTCCTGTGTGGTGTTCACAATTTGAGAACAAAATTGTTTGGTGTATGTACATAATGTCTGTCAGGACTCGAGTTCCAGAGAACGTGCTTTGGACAGTGATATGTTAAACCAGTGGTTCACCTGAGTGTGCTCACAATCACCTGGGGGGCTTCATAAAGCACCAGTCACTGGACCTTAGCCCCAGAATTTCTAAGTTAGTAGGTCAGAAGTAGGGCCTAAGAATGTGCATTTCTAATGAGTTCTCAAGGGACACCGATGCTTCCAGTGCAGGGACCAACCACACTTTGACTTTGCTGCCTCCCTGGAGCAACATAGTATTTCTGTAGTTACTTGAATTTCATATTCCTTCATCTAGTACAAGCCATTTCGGGAATGCTTTAAAAAGCCAGTTTTTTAGCAACAAGTTGTTCACTTGCTTCGTATTCTTCATTGGAAACCAACTGTTGAGATATCCAGCCTAGTTGGGGAGAGGGATTTATGCATATGTGAAATGAGTAGACATGAATTTATATGGTGATATACACAAGTGATTTTTTTTAAGATATGGAGTCTTGCTTTGTCACCTAGACTGGAGTGCAGTGGCATGATCTTGGTTCACTGCAACCTCCGCCTCCCACGTTCGAGCAGTTCTCCTGCCTCAGCCTCCTGAGTAGCTGGGGACTATAGGCTTATGCCACTACGCCCTGCTAATTTTTTGTATTTTAGTAGAGACAGGGTTTCACCATGTTACCCAGGCTGGTCTTAAACTCCTGAGTTTAGGCAGTCTGCCTGCTTCGGCCTCCCAAAGTGCTAGGATTACAGGTATGAGCCACCACCTCACTTATAAGTGATATTACTCATAAGTGATATTAAAGGCAAAAAGAGAACAGAGAAAGATCAATGTGGTCTGCAGTCACCAAGGAAATATTCGTAGAGGAAGGAGCCTTTGCTGTTCAAACCGGTGGTTGGGGCAAGCCAAAACAGAACAACCACTCTGATCCTTAATTTACTTAATATGCAAAAGAAAAGGACTCAGCTAGGTGATTTTCATGCTCTTTCCTTCTCTAAAATCTAAAATTAAGAAGGATTTTTTTCTGTGTTTCTCAGGTACCTGATACTATGATGATAGTATAATTCTTTTTTTTTTTTTTTTTTTTTTTTTTTTTGTGAGATGGAGTCTTGCTCTGTCCCAGGCTGGAGTGCAGTAATGCGATCTTGGCTCACTGCAATCTCTGCCTCCTGGTTCAAGCGATTCCCCTGCCTCAGCCTCCTGAGTAGCTGGGACTACAGGTGTGCACCACTATGCCTGACTAATTTTTTGTATTTTAGTTGAGACAGGGTTCACCATGTTGGCCAGGATGGTCTCAATCTTCAGACCTTGTGATCTGCCTGCCTTGGCCTCCGAAAGGATTACAGGCGTGAGCCACTGCTCCTGGCCTACTATAATTCTTTTTAAGGAAAAGCAGGTAGGAAGACATTTAGATGGAAGCCTGAACCAGCCCTCCAGGTGATTCTGACACACACTCAAGCTCGAGAACCACTGGTTTAACATATCAGTCCCCAATGTGCATTTTATGGGACTCAGGTTTTGATAGATGCTATGTATAGACACCGAAGATTTTGTTCTCAAATTGTAAATATGGTATATAACATTTCCTGGAAATTGATATGTACATTAATGTGTAAAGTACAAGAGAACTGTGGTATAGATATGCCTGCACATTTGTCGTCATAACCTGAATCACCCACCACTCATTTCCCTTCCACCTTAGAATGACGTTTTACATAATTTTTGGAAGCGCTACCTTCAGAAGAGCAAGCAGGCATATTGTAAGAACCCAGTTTATACCACTGGAAGGAAACCTACGGTAAGTCACACGTCAGAAAAGTTGGACTAAAAGACATGTCTAGTGAGATGTAGAGATGAAGATGGGTCCACGACCAGTTTGAGTATCTGGGATTATGATCCTTGTCAGAGGATTTTCAATTAAGAGGTTTCTGTTAGAGTCCTTCGAAGGACAGGGTCACTGATTTAAACACTGGAATACAGTTTTTTTCTTCATCATTTTCCTGCAGTGTGGAATTAATTTTCACAACTTATTAGATCAGTTGAAACGTAAAGGAATTTGTGGTTGATTTTCTAAATACAAGATAGAATTTCTATCACTGTACTATTAAAAGAATTTTTGCATATTATTGTTCTGTTTGCTTGAAATACCTACTTACTTTATGTGGCATTTCAAGATTCAGCTCAGTTATCATCTCTTAGAAGCCTTTATGTGAAAAAAAATAAATCTGGATATTCTCCACATCCATCAGAACAGCTATATTTTTACCAGTTTCTTTGTAACTGCTTTATGAATGTGCCATGTAACATTTTATTTAGGGTTGAGGATGGTTCTGCTACAAAAAGCAAGTTTGATAATTTTTTTTGTTCATTTGTTTGGTTTTTGTTGAGATGGAGTTTTGCTCTTGTCGCCCAGGCTTAAGGGCAATGGCGCAATCTCAGGTCACTGCAACCTCTGCCTCCTGGATTCAAGTGATTCTCTTGCCTCAGCCTCCCAAGTAGCTGGAATTACTGGTACCTGGCACCATGCCTGGCTAATTTTTGTATTTTTAGTAGAGATGGGGTTTCACCATCTTGGCCAGGCTAATCTTGAACTCCTGACCTCAGGTGATCTGCCTGCCTCAGCCTTCCAAAGTGCTGGGATTACAGTCATGAGCCACCACGCTCGGCCAGTTTCATAATTTTTGATGTGTGGTACAGACACTCCTTAGCATGGGGTCACATCCCCATTAACCCATTGTAAGCTGAAAATATCTTGAAGTTGAACATGCAGGCTCACAACTGTAATCTCAACACTTTGAGAGGCTAGGGCAGGAGGATTGCTTTAGCCCCGAAGTTTGAGAGCAGCCTGGGTAACGTAATGAGACCCCCAACTCTACAAAAAATACAAAATACGTACCGAGCATGGTGGCACATGCCCTATAGTCCCAGCTACTTGGGAGGCTGAGGTGGGAGGACTGCTTGAGCCTAGGAGGTTGAGGCTGCAGTGAGCTGTGATCACTACTGCACTCCAGCCTGGGCAACAGAGTGAGACCTTGTCTTAAAAAAAGGAAAAAGCATTTAATATACCCAACCTACTGAACATCATAGCTTAGACTAGCCCACCTTAAACATGCTCAAGACACTTACATTAGCCTACAGTTGGGCAAAAGTCATCAAACACAAAATCTATTTTATAATAAAGGGTTGAATATCTCATGTAATTCATTGAGTACTTTACTGAAAGTGAAAACAGTATGATTGCATGGGTACTTGGAGTATAGTTTTGACTTCGTGCATATTGCTTTGTACCACAGTAAAGTCAAAACATCACAAGTCAGGGCTCATCTGTGGTTACTCTTCATATGGCTAGAAGAGATTCAGGATCTGTGTGATACACATTTGTTAAGGGCTTGGGAATTTGGCCCAGTGTTTCCTTGTTTGCTTGTGTTCTCATAGGTTCCACAGCCAGAGTTTAGAGACCCAAGACTAAGAAAACCAGGTCTGGGTGAAGAGTAGGTTACAGAGCTGAACAAAAGAGAACCTCTGAGCTGCTTGAGTATCCTCATGTGATACTGATCCCAAGAATGAGAAGTTAAGAGTAGTCAAATCATGCAGGATATTGATGGTTATTCTAGGGGGCTGGGGGGGGAGGGAGGGCAACCTGAGAAAGCTAACTGAAAAAAATAAAAAAGGGGAATAACCTAATGAGTTCTTTTGGGGAATGTTTTAAAATATGAGATAATTAATTTAAATAAACTCACAAGAGAAATAACTTGAATATAACTAGAAAAGATATTTTATAATCACAACTATGAAACATTATGCTATCTTGATACATGAGCTAGATACTTCTCAAGAAAATCACAAGATGCTCTATGGTTCTAAGGTAACACTTTTAAAAAAGAAAATAATTACTTGAACGACTAAGAACTTGATCTTTAAAATTTCATAGCTAAGGTATTTGTTGATTATATTTATGCCATGGGACTTTGCCTAGCACATAGAAAATATGCATTAGAACCTGGGATTCTCTGACATTTAAATATTTTTGGGTTAAAATAAAAAAAAAAAGGTTTTGCTAGATTTGAGTAAATTTAAGTGTAAAGCAATATTAGCATCATGTGAAAATCTTGGTGAATACTCAGTAAAATATTAATTTGATAAATGAATTGATAAGATAATTTCTACTTCAAGAATACAGCCATACTCTATTTTGAAAGGAAATGGGAACAATTACTTTTAAATTAGAAACGTAGTTTTCTCAAACATATCCATTAAATATTTCCTTAGTGCTTTGGATGTAACTGTTTTGAGAATAGTAAGAGGACTGCATCTGAATCCTGGTTCTTACTTTTGAGCTGTGTTATCTTGGGTGAGGTAAATTACTGAAAATGTGCAGAAAAAGCAAAGTAACAAGCAAATATAGAGAGTGGGAAAGGATGCTATTTAAGAAGTCCCTAGGCGCTTCCTATACACAGTACACTAAAATTTAAGAAGCACTGCTAGATGGGAAATGATGGTGGATGGGACCAGGTGGTAGAACTGAAGGTGATAAGTAATAGGATTCTATATAAACTCTGAAGATGGAGCCAACAGAATTTCCTGATGGATTGGATGTGAGGTATGAGAGAAAGAGAGGAATTGACCTGAGCAGCTGGAAGGAAGTTGTCATCAACTGAAGGGTAAGTGGGCCAGGAAGGTCAGGGGTTCTGTTTTGGCCATGTTAAGTTTGAGAAAGCTGTTAGCATCTGTATTGGTCCATTTTCACACTGGTATAAAAATATTACCTGAGACAGGGCAATTTCTAAACAAAAGAATTTTAATTGACTGACAGTTCCACATGGCTAGGAGCCCCTAAAAAACATGCAATCATGGCCGAAGGCAGGAGAGAGAGAGAGAGAGGAGAGAGAGAATGCACGCATGCACACACAGGGGAAACTGCCACTTTTTAAAACCATCAGATCACATGAGAACTCCTTCACTATCATGAGAACAGCATGGGGGAAACCACCCCCGTGATTCAGTCACCTCTCATTAGCTCTCTCTCTCAACATGTGGGGGTTACAATTCAAGATGAGATTTGGATGGGGAGCCAAACCATATCATTCCACCACTGGCCCCTGCCAAATCTTATGTCCTTCTCACATTGCAAAATCAATCATGCCTTCCTAACAGTCTCCCAAAGTCGTAACTCATTCTAGCATCAATTCATTAACTCTAAAGTCCAAGTCTAAAGTCTTATCTGAGACAAGGCAAGTACCCTCCGCCCATGAACCTGTAAAATAAAAAACAAATTAGTTACTTCCAAGATGAAATGAGGGAACAGGCATTGGGTAAATGTTCCCAATCCAAATGTGATAAATTGGCCAAAACAAAGGGGCCCACAGGCCCCATACAAGTCTGAAACCCAGCAGAGCATTCACTAAATCTTAAAGCTCCAAAGTAAGCTTTGACTCCATGTCTCACATCCAGGCATGCTCATGCAAGGGGTGGTCTTGCAAGGCCTTGGGCAGCTCTGCTTCTGTGGCTCTGCAGGGTACAGCCTCCAAGGCTACTTTCATGGGCCACTGTTAAGTGCCTGTGACTTTCTAAGCACATGGTGCAAGCTGTCAGTGGATCTGTCATTCTGCAGTCTGAAGGACAGTGGCCCCTCTTTTCACATCTCAACTAGACGATGCCCCAGTGGGGACTTTGTGTTGGGACTCCAGCCCCACATTTCCCAGAAGAGGTTCTCCATCAGAACACCTCCCCTGCAGCAGACTCCTGCCTGAACATCTAGGCATTTCTGTACATCCTCTAATCTAGGCAGAGGTTCCCAAACCTCAACTCTCGTCTTCTATGCACCCACAGGCCTAACACCACGTGGAAGCTGCCAAAGCTTGGGGCTTGCACCCCCTGAAGCCATGGCCTGAGCTATACCTTGGTGCCTTTTAGCCACAGCTGGAGCTGGAGTGGCTGGGATGCAGGGTGCCATATCCTAAGGCTGCACAAAGTAGCTGGGCCCTGGGTCCAGCTCAGGGAATTATTTTTCCCTCCTAGGCCTCTGGGCCTGTGATGGAAGGAACTGTCTCAAAGATCTCTGACATGCCTGGAGACATTTTTCCCATTGTCTTGGCTATTCACATTCACTCCTCATTACTTAGGCAAATTTCTGCAGCCAGCTTGAATTTCTCCCCAGAAAATGGATTTTCCTTTCCTTTTCTTTTTTTTTTTTTTGAAATGAAGTCTCAGTCTGTCACCCAGGCTGGAGTGCAGTGGCACGCTCTTGGCTCACTGCAACCTCTGCCTCCCAGGTTCAGGCAATTCTCCTGCCTCAGCCTCCTGAGTAGCTGGGATTACAGGCATGTGCCACCACGCCCAGCTAATTTTTGTATTATTATTATTTTTTTTTTAGTAGAGGTGAGGTTTCACCATGTTGGTCAGGCTGGTCTCAAACTCCTGACCTCGTGATCTACCTGCTTCAGCCTCCCAAAGTGCTGGGATTACAGGCGTGAGCCACCATGCCCTGCCAGGTTTTTCTTTTCTATCTCATGGTTCAGCACAAATTTTTCAAACTTTTATGCTCTGCTTCCCTTTTAAATAAAAGTTCCAGTTTCAGATCATCTCTTTGTGTACGCACATGACCGAATGCTTTCAGAATCAGCCAGGTCACCCTCTTGAATGCTTTGCTGCTTAGAAAGTTCTTCTGCCAGATACCCTGAATCATGTTTCTCAACTTTAGAGTTCTACAGATTTCTAGGGCAGGGGCCAAATGCCACCAGTCTCTTTGCTGAAGCATAGCAAGAATAACCTTTACTACAGTTCCCAGTAAGTTCCTCATCTCCATCTGAAACCACCTCAGCCTGGACTTCATTGTCCATATCACTATCAGCATTTTTTGGTTTGTTTTATTGAGATGAAGTGTTGCTCTGTTGCCCAGGCTGGAGTGCAGTGATCAGCTGTGATAAATGCTGTCACTAGGTCAAGAAGAAAGAGGGCTACAAAGTGCTTAGTGAAGAGTGGGATCAAAACCTTGATTGGAATGGAATATAAGGTAGACTGAGAGGAGAGAAATTGGAGACAACAAATCTGGACTTTTTCAAGGCATTTTGCTGCAACAAGTACAAAGAAATGGCATGGTTGCTGGGGTCAAGGGAGAGCTTTTAAAAAGTGGGATAAACGGTATCATATTTATGGACTGATAGGAATGATGCAGGAGAGAAAAAGTTACGGTGGAGAGAGAGTAGACGTGAATCTTTGGATATACAAAGGGGTGGGATTAAGTGCACAAGTAGAGAAACTGGCTTTAGACAGGAGTTTGAATAGTACAGTCAGGCAGAGGCAGAGTATATGATAGAGTTGCTGGCAGTGGTTACCTGTGGAAGTTTTCTCAGTGTGTTCATGCTCATCAGCCAGCTTTCTGGTGCAGCCTCCCTTTCATGGGGCTCCCCTATAGGGAGGGAAAATGCTTAACAGAGGACATAAGCATCTTATTTCATTCTTTGAGGGTTTTTTTTCTTCATTGTCTTATGAGCCTCTTTAACAGGAGTCTTATCTTCTTGTAATAAGATCAAGTCTCTTGGCCTGCACGGTTGAAATCATGCCGTTTTGACTGTGATTGGTTTCCCTAGGTAATGTCAGCTAATAAGGTATTTAGGTAGCCAGCCAGCTGACCTTTTTAGGACTCTCTGTCATTTCAACAGTACATGTGTGAACAATTAAACAGTGGTGTAAGATAGTGTATCCTTGCTGATTTCATGTTACAAATCATATGTGCTATAAGAGTTCAAGGAAAGGAGAAATCACTGAAGAGTGCATTGGAAAGACGGCATGAGGAGTAAGTAATGAGTCAGAGAGCCGGGAAAGGGATAGTTCAGGCAGGAGAACCAGAATTACCAAAGATACAAAGCAAAAATTCCCCAGGTAGGTTTGGTGAAAAAGAGGCCAGCCAGCATGTGTGGAGTCATTATTGATGCCCGATGTTTTCAGTGGTGAAGATATTAGCACTGTAAGAGATGTTCATGGAAGAAGAAGGAGACCTGATGGGAGGACTGGCAGCCGGTTTCCTTGCTCATCTTTGTCTGGGACCCTTCTCTAAGAAGCATTGCTGGGAGCTGTCAGGAGCATGTTTCAGAAGTAAGGGACTTGGCAGACAGTTGCAGTTTTCCAGAGGGGTTTCTTTTATAGTATTTGCGATGGTCAGGAAATGTTTAAGTTCACAGAAATTAACTGTTTAAAACTGTTATGCAACAGTTTTATTTATATTATTTTGCAAACAGGTATTAGAAGATAATCTCAGTCATTCAGACTGGGCTAGTGAGCCTGAGCTGCCAAGTGATGTCAACTCTCCTTTTCTTGAAAGTGGAATGGAATCTCAGTCTGATGTCCACACTCGAAAATCTCTCCGCATCAGCAAAGCATTGCAGTCAGGTAAAAATGAAAACCAACCATTTAGAATTTTAAAGCTGGTATGCCCCTTAAAAAGAATTTAGTCTGATCTTCTGATATTCCACGGAAAGGGAACGTGGTCTAGCAAGGAAGAATGACTTGCTGAAACATATGGCTAAGACAAAGGCAAACGAAATGAAATCTTAGTGGAATTTTTTAAAGGCACATTGTCTCCATGTGAGTTGTTTTGTGTGTGATTTTAAAGGGACATAACGATCAAGTGGATCCAGAAAGAAGGAGGCTACTTCAAAAAGATCATATATGTGTGGGCTCAGAGTTTTCAAAGAAACGTTGTAGCAGAAAAATGTTATAAAGTAGCCATATGGTAAAACAGACAAAGATGATATGTCCAATTTCTAAGCATAGACAAGCCGAATAAAATTTACCTTGTTACATGTGTGTTTTACTTTCTGATACAATTCCATAACTTGAAATAGATAAGGAATATATTTAAGATCAAAATATAGGTCTTCTTCCTAAAGCATTCATTAATTTTAGTTGTTCCTTTACTACATTTCTTTAAAAAAAAAATATTTTTTTAAATGATGGAAAACAGACCAGGTTTTCCAAACCCTCTAGTGTTAGAAATTGTTTATTGATATCTGGGTTAAGTGTAGTTAAATTTTTCAACGAACATTCCTTGCCCTCCAAAAATTAAAAATTTGTTTATCAGTGTATTCCCATCTGAGCACAAGACCTGACCTCAGGTGATCCACCAGCCTTGGCCTCCCAAAGTACTGGGATTACAGGCATGAGCCACCACACCCAACTCCCTAGAGCTTTCTTTCAGTTTTTAGATTAGTTTTACACTGTGCTGGACTGCATAGTGACACAGATATCAAATAAGTTACTTTTTGCATAAAGTGTTAGGATTATCCACTAATTGGGCAGCAAGGAATTTCTGGAGTTTTCTTCTCTACCTTTTCAGACAAACCTGAGCTCAGGTAGTCCCAGAAGACCTGTAAAAACCCTTTAAAGGAAAGATATTAGCTCCTTTTAAAGCGTCATGATTGCTTTGTTTACCTATGTTTAACAGCTTTGCTTTTTTTTTTCTGTGAGACAGAGTTTAGCTCTAGTTGCCCAGGCTAGAGTGCAATGGCCTAATCTCAGCTCACTGCAACCTCCACCTCCTGGGTTCAAGCAGTTCTCCTGCCTCAGCCTCCCAAGTAGCTGGGAGCATGCACCACCATACCCGACTAATTTTTCTTGTATTTAGGAGAGGTGGGGTTTCACCATGTTGGTCAGGCTGGTCTTGAACTCCTGACCTCAAGTGATCCACCAGCCTTGGCCTCCCGAAGTGCTGGGATTACAGGCATGAGCCACCATGCCCAACCCCCTAGAGCTTTCTTTTAGTTTTTACATTAAGAGTAATTATTTGGGGGGCACAGTGGCTCACACCTGTAATCCCAACACTGTGGGAGGCCAAGGCAGGCAGATCACTTGAGTTCAGGAGTTTGAGACCAGCCTGGCCAACATGGTGAAGCCCTGTCTCTACTAAAAATAAAAAAATTAGCTAGGCATGGTGGTACGCACTGGTATTCCCAGCTGCTTGGGAAGCTGAGGCAGGAGAATCGCTTGAACCGGGAGGGGAATGTTGCAGTGAACTGAGATTGTATCACTGCACTCCAGTGTGGGTGACAGAGCAAGACTCTCTGAAAAAAAAAAAAAAAAGTAATTATTAATTAAACTCAACATTAAACTATAAAATGCAGATAGTCACAAAGAAAATAAAATCACCAGTTATTCTACCAACCAGAAATTACCACTACTGCTATTTTAGATCATTCCAGAAAGTTTTTCCTTCATATATATATATATATATATATATATGCAAAGTTTGTTTTGATAAAAATTTGAATTATTTCTTCATTCTATAAATTTTTATATCAAAATTCTACATGCATATAATTCAAATCATTCTGTAAGTCATTATAAAAAATTGCAAAAATAAAAAAAATTTTTAATTTGTAGTCTTCCAGTCATAGTGGCTCACACCTGTAATCCCAGCATTTTGGGAGGCCAAGGAGGGAGGTTCAGTTGAACCCAGGAGTTCAGGCCCAACCTGGGCAACATAGTGAGACCACCATCTCTCAAAAAATAAAAAAAATTAGCTTGGCATGGTGATGCTTGCCTACAGTTCCAGCTACTCAGGCAGCTGAGGTTGCAGGAGTGCTTGAGCCAGGAGGTTGAGGCTACAATATGCTGTGATCATGCCACTACACTCTAGCCTGGGTGACAGAGCAAGACCCTATCTTAAAAAAAATAAAATTTGTAGTGTACCTTCAGCTAATGTCCTATTCCCAAGAGGCATTCATTTTCAACTCTTTTGTAATTTCCATATCTCTATATCACATGCTTCTAGTATTACATCTTGATTTCTGGTTTGGGACATTAGCTATTGAATTCCATTTTAGCTTTTTCATACATTCCTCACTGTCCCTCCTCTGCACGTAGCCACCAGTACATGAGTGTGTGTTTCTCATTCTCTCTCTTCCCAATATAATTACTATAATTTTTTACTAGATCAGTATTTACTGCTTAAATTATTATAAATGTATAAATGTTATTTAGACTGAGCCATATAGCTTACTATGATTACTTTTTCTGTATATCCTGTGGTTTTCCTGGAGTTGATAATTGTTAATTTATTTCGTTTTCTGTCGATCACTAATGTGTAATATATTACTGATGTATCTCCACACTTCCTCCCAGTTCTTCTAATCTCTTAATACCTTAGTATTCTATCAATTTCATCTTCTGGAAGAAGTCTCCCTGGAGCCTCTGCTCTGCTCTGATCTAGAATGATGCATCTAGACTTGTGGCCTGGCTAACTTTAGGATCTCTCTTTACCAGCATCCTGAGATTCTGTCATTTCTCTTTTGTTGGATTTTTTATTTTCTGTATCCCATTTCTTCTTTCCTGGATTACCTTCCATTTTTGTGGAGTGTCTTTTATTTCACAGAAAATATTAATGATCTTTCATCCCTGACTTGATGTTTTGGCCTCTGATTTTTTTATATGTTTAGTGAGCCTAGGGTAGCTATTCTTACTTAAACATGGAGACTAAAATTTGATAGAAGGCTTTGTTTCCATGGTGAGTCTTGTCAGCTCTGCTCTGTATGCAAGGTTGCTTTCTCAGTGAATCACCCCCCCCCCCCCACATTATCGTCTTTCAGTCTTTCCCCCCTGGAGCTGATCAGATTCCTCAGAGCTTTGAATCTTCTGTTTGGCGGTGTGTAATCCAGGCTGTCACTGTTCTGGGAACTGGGTAGGAAGAAGGAGGCCCGAGGGGAATGGGAGATTGTTTTAGTATTCAGGATGTAAACTCTCACTTAAGCCTCCTATTTTCACTTCTCAGTGGTGCGTGTGACTGGCATGCCTTATTCTAGAGACCTCTCTGGAGAAGAAATTTCCAGTTTTTGGCCAAGACTGGGGAGGGGCAGTCATTTGACTGTATGGATTTCGGGTGAGAATCTGGTTATCGAACTGCTTCTTAATATGAATTTTAAGCAATCATCCTGGTGTTAGGCCTGCCTTCATGCAGTTTCTAGGGGCGTGAGTTTCACCAATTCCTGAGCCATCTTTCGGGCTCCCCAGTGGAAACTGCTTTTTGGCTTTCCCCACTGCTGGCTTTGAATCTAGTTTTCTCAGGACTGCTAAGGCAGTAATCACCTGTCTGTATGCTTTCCGACTTCTCAGATTTTATTGTTCTTGTCACCTTTTTCATATTATTTGTTCTCAGGTTTACATGTTTTAAAAATTCTCTTTATAATAATTATTGTAGCAGGAGAGAGCAGAGGCTAATGTGTGTTTTCAATTTGCCACCTTAACTAGAGGTCCTTCCATATTATAAGGAATATACCCCAAAAAAAGTTGTGTCTGTGCACACATTTATTTTATGGAAATCTGTGACTTTATTCATTCATTTAAAAATGATGGTCCTTAAACTTTAGCATCCGTCAGAATCACCTGGAAAGCTGGTTAAATCTCAGTCCTTAAAGTTTAGCATCCGTCAGAATCACCTGGAAAGCTTGTTAAAACTTGGTCCTTAAACTTTAGCATCATCAGAATCACCTGGAAAGCTTGTTAAAACTTGGTGATTTGTAGTTCCATTAGGTTCTCAGGTGATACTAATACCGCTGGTCCAGGCGTATACTTTGAGAACCACTGATCTAAAGTATTATGGACATTGTTTTGTAGTATACCACTGCATGGAATTATTTAATTAAACTTCTATTTCTGGCATTTAGGTTGTTCTAAATTCTTTTGTATCATAAACAGTGCTGCCACAACATTCCTTGACCCTGAACCTTTGCATGGCTTTCAGATAATTTCACGGGGGTGAAATCTTCAAAGTAGAACTGTTGGGCCTATTTGCACATCAGTTTCTACTCTGTGCTAGAGACTGTTCTGGGCACTGGGACACAATGGTGGTGAGACTGTCCACCTTCAAGGTGTTTATATTGTAGTAGGAGATAGGCAATGAATGCCCAAATAAAGAACATTTAGTTACTGATAAGTGCTAGCACCTATCAGGGGCATTGTGAGGCCTGCTTCTTTATCTACCCTTACTCCTTAGGTGACTTCACCTACTACTTCAGCTTTAACCAAGCACCAACTATATGCTGAAACGAAAATTCCTGTCTCTCATCCCACCTTTCCTCCAAAGTACAGATTCTTATATTCAGCTGCTCATTCAACATTTCTATTGGTGTACTTAATAAGATTCGCACTTAATACAAATAATTCTACCACTGTGATTTCTGTCATCAAACCTGAGTTTCTTTTGCCATCTTCGTTGTCTTGGTAAATGGCACTGCATTCTACTTGTTGCTCAGGCCAACAACCTTAGAATCATGCTTGTTTTCTCCTTTTCTCTCGTGCTTTTTACATTTAATCTATCAGCAAATCCTTTGACTCTGCCTTTAAAATCTATGTAGAATCCCACCATTTCCTACCAGCTACAATACTGCCACTCCAGTCCAAGTCCCAGTCTTGGCTTTCCTGGAAGAGTGGTCTTCTGTTTCTGCTCCTGCCCTTCCATGACTCCATTCTTCCCACAGCAGCTGGAGTGACCTTTTTAAATACATAAATGAGGTCCTCTTGCTCCATGGTTTAAAACTCTCCAGAAACTTCTTCTTATACTTAGAATAAAATCCAAAGTACAAATCATGACCTGCAAAATTCTACATAATATGGTTTGTATTCTCTCTTCAGTATCATTCCCACCACTTTCCCTCACAAATTTCTGTTCTTATAAAGAAAAAGAGGTTTAATGGACTCACAGATCCGCATGGCTGGGGAGGCCTCACAATAATGGCAGATTTACATAGAAACTATATTATATAGCATCCCATGATGCTCTCACCACACTGGTCTTTTTGCTCTTCCGTAGTTCACTCATGCTAATGTACTTGGTATTCTTCCCAACATCCTTAAGACTTACTTTCTGAATTAATTCAGGTCTCTGCTCAAATGTCACTTTCTCAATGAGGTTTCTCTGACTACCCATATAAAATAGCACATCTCTCTTCCTTTCCCATCACTTTGTATGACTCTACATTGCTATTTTTCTATGTAACATCACTGTCTTGTCAATTGTAATTTTTTTTTTTTTTTTTTGAGATAGAGTCTCTCTACGTTGCCCAGGCTGGTTTCACAATCTTGGGCTCAAGTGATCGTCCTATCTCATCCTCCCCAGTAGCTGGGATTATACGTGCACACCATGGCACCTGGCTCTGCCAATTGTATTTCTTGTTTGTTTGTTTATTGGTCTGTCTCCCATTACTAGAATGTAAGTTCTAAGAGAGATGAGACATTATTCACTGTCATTTCCTGAGACATAGAAGAGTGGCACAAAGAATGAGATGCATAAGCATCTGGTGAATGGATGCAGATACCATAATGTCACATGGTAGAGGATACCCGGAGGATGGGAATAGGAGGAGGTGCTGCTGCTCTAGCTAACGGAGTTTTGGAGAGGCCTTGTAGAGGAGGGGCCGTGGAGTTTAGGCCAGAGTCAAAGCAGTTATACATGTTTTGCTGTGTATTATAGTTGTATATCCTTTCCTTTATTTAAAAAATTTTTATGTTCCTATTAAAAAATTCAAACAGTTCAAATCCTTCTTTTTTTTTTGAGACATAGTCTCACTCTTATCACCCAGGCAGGAGTGCAATGGTGTGATCTCAGCTCACTGCAACCTCTGCCTCCCGGGTTCAAGCTATTCTCCTGTGTCAGCCTCCCAAGTAGCTGGGATTACAGGCATCCACTACCACACCTGGTTAATTTTTTGTATTTTTAGTAGAGATGAGGTTTCACCATATTGGCCAGGCTGGTTTTGAATTCCTGACCTCAAGTGATCTGCCCGCCTCAGCCTCCCAAAGCGCTAGAATCACTGGTGTGTGCCACCACACCAGGCCCAAATCCCACTTTAGAATCCTGTCCCATGCCACTCCCACAGATATCCCATGATTACATTTTTGGCTGATTTTATTCTAATTCTTCATTACTCTTTATTGCCAAATTGCTCTTTGTAAAGGTTTTATAACTAGTTTTAAGATACTTGTATTAGTCCATTTTCATACTGCTATGAAGAAATACCTGAGACTGGGTGATTTATACAGAAAAAGAGTTTTAATGGACTCACAGTTCCACATGGCTGGGGAGGACTCACGATCATGGTGGAATGTGAAGGAGGAGCAAAGGCAGATCTTACATGGCAGCAGGCAAGATGAGCATGTGCAGGGGAACTACCCTTTATAAAACCATCAGATCTCTTGAGACTTATTCACTATCATGAGAACAGCGTGGATAAAACCTGCTCCATGATTCAATTACTTCCCACCAGGTCCCTCCCACGACACATTGGAATTATGGGAACCAGAGTTTAAAATGGGTGGGGACAGAGCCAAACCATGCCAATATTTAAAATGCCTGTTTAGATTTTATGTTGTTTTTCATTTGTTGTCCAAATAAGTTACCTGGATTTTTAAAAATCTCCATTTGTCTCCTAAGAAACATCTGTCTGCTCTGGATCCCTGGATGGAGTTGAATACTCACAACGAAAGGAGAAGGGACTTGTGAAGATGACCGTGCCACAGACACTTGCCTTCTGTTATCTGTCCTTACTTTGGCAGAGAGAAGCAATAACGCTTTCAGATCTTTTGAGGTCAGCTGGACCTCTTATATGATAATGTTTTTGTTGGTTACTGTATGAACTAAGAAGAAAAACTTTGAATATTTTTATTTTGTTAAGAAGGCTTAACTTGAGGAAGGAACTGGAAAGTTTGAGTAGCCTGGATTCTGATTCTGAAATTCAGTTCCCCCTGGGCTAGAAATTTATCTTCTTGGTTTTTCTTATTTATATAGTGGAAATGATAGTACTTTCCATACATGGGCTATTGGAAAATTAATTATTTAATATAATGGTTTGAAGAGAAAAGTGACATTTAAGTACCTGAATAATATTAGTACACATTTTTTATCTCTAAAAAAAGATAAACAGATGATCTTTACATTAGCAAAATCATTATTTGTAGTTATACAAAAGCATAAATTGGTGTTAAGAGCTAAAATAGGTTGTCTGTGTTTATAAGGAAAAGTTGAAGGCAAACCTGTTGGAAGGAAGTGTTATGTAGATAGTAAGCATTTATATTTTTCAGGATAATCTACAGGGTTTTTTTTGGTTAATGAATACATTCCAGTATTATGTGTAAGAGTTTCTCATTTAATAGATGTGCCAAAGTTGTTAATGTGCTAATTTTTTTCTCCTTGCTTTATATGTGTTCTGAATAGTAATATTTGGGTTTAATGAATGTATAGAGTGCTTTTAAGAGCACAAATTAGGAAGCAAACTGTTGGGTTTGAATCCTGTCTCTGCCGCTTATTTCTCTCTGCTTCTGTTTCCTCGTTGGTAAAATGTGACTAATAATAATGACTACCTCATAGGGTTGTAACTACTTTCAATAATTAGTACTGTATGGAAAGCACTTAGAGCTGTGTCCAGCACGTAATAAGAACTCAGTGCTTGTCATTATTGTTTTTGTTTTCATCATCACCACCATTATCATCATCATTGGCACAGCCCCTTTGATTAAATATAATGTCTCCAGTAAATGATGATAATGTCTTTGAATTTGGCCACATCAACCAAATAAAAATGCTTTCCTCGGATCTGATTAAGTCTACAAGAAGATAGCCCATGATTCAGTGAATTTTACTATTGATTTAAAAACCTGATTTTGCTTTGTATGCCCCCATTGGGTGAGCTCATCTTTTCCCAAGGCTTTAATTACCACTATATGCTGATGACTCCCAGATTTATATCTCTAGCCCAGACTTGTCTACTGAGGGCCAGACCCATAGAGTCATATATATATAGCTGCCTGCTGGACACGGCTACTTAGGTGTCTTTATGATATCTCAGAATCAGCATGACTAGAGGTTCATCTTCTGTCTCCTTGACCCAGCTCCTTCTCCAGTGTTCTCTTTCTTAGTAAATGCCATCCACCCTGTTGCAGTCTATCTGGAAGCCTAGGAATCATCCTTGACCCTTTCCCCTCTTTGTACACTGTTGGTCATTATGTCCCCTCAGTTCTATGTCCAAAAACTCACAGAACCATTCTACTCTGCATTTCCTTTCTCTCTCTCCTCTCTACCCTCATCTGGATTGCTTAACAGTCTCCCAGCACAGCTCTGTCTGTAATCTTGTTCTGTCATTTCTATTCATTTTCCTCCTGATAACCAGAAGGATCTTACAAAAACATAAATCTAATCATATCATTAGAGCTAGATAAAGGGGCTAGCCATCCTACCCAGGACAATCTCTAAGGGACTAATAGAATTCTCCTAGAAATCTAACAAGTCACATTTACCTGAAATTCTTCTCAGGGAGAATATTATATGTGGTTGGAAGAATGCGGGTAAGATATGACCCACCTCCCTTAATCTTTTCTCTTCTCTCTTTCTCTCTCCTCCCCCACCAAGGGGAATTCTGAAATGCCCTCAAGGAGATTAAATCTGTTTAGCTGGGGGACTTTTGTTTTGCTTTGTGGAACATACAAGTTTGGGAACAGAGCTTAGTTGCTTGGGGCAATAGGAGAAGAGATTGTCACAATTGATATTTTTTCTTTGCTTTTTCTCTTAGAAAGTTGTAAGCCATACATTCTCAAAATGTGGCCTCGTGACTTACAGCTTCAGTACCACCTGGGAACTTGTTAGAAATGTGAATTCTTAGACCTATCCTACACCTTCTGAATCAGAAACTCGGGTAGTACCTGGTAATCTCTGCTTTAAAATAAGCCCCTCAAGGGATTCTTCTTTTTTCTTTTCTTTTTGGTAGAGATGGGGTCTTGTGATGTTGCCCAAGCTGGTCTCGAATTCTTGGCCTCAAGCAAACCTCCTACCTTGGCCTCCTGCCTTGGCCTCCCAAAATGTTGGGATTGTGGCGTGAGCCACCATGGCTGGCTCAGGGGATTCTTATGGATGGTAAAGTTTGAGAACCACTGCCAAACTTTGAAAATATATTTAAAGAGCACTGGTTTTAAAGGAGTATGTCATTGCTTAGCCAAAATACCCACATATCTTAACACTGTGCATGTCACTCCCTTTTTAAGTTCTCTAGCAGCATCCATAGTCCTTAGGATACATTCATTATCCTTCAGATAGCCTGTAAAGGACCCTGCCTTCCTAGCAATAACAACATTAATAAATAAAAAGAACCAGCATTTATTCATTCTGTAAATTCGTGGTGAATATCTACTATATGCAGGTGTTGTTCTCGAATCTAGACCCTTGCGATGCAGTTGTGAATCAATCATATAGGTCAAGTCCTTGCTCTCATGAATTTCAAGACCAGGGGAGGAAACAGATAAACAAACACGTAAGTATGGTTGGTGCAAAGGTAATTGCAGTTAATGGCCCAAACTGCAATTACTTTTGCACTAACCTGATGAATAAGAAAATAATCAGACAGGGAAAGGCTATTCAGAAGATCGAAATAGGATGGTGTGATAGAGAATGACTAGATGGCTACTTTAGATTGGTTCTTTGGGAAGGACTCACCAAGAAGGTAGCATTTAATCCATACCTTAAATGAAAATAGAGCCAGTGTGAATATCAAGAGTACAGTAGTCCCCACTTATCCACAGAGGGTATATTCCAAGACATTGGATACCTGAAAATGTAGATAGCGCGGAACCCTATATACACGATGGTTTTTCTATGTGTACATTCCTGTGATAAAGTTTAATTTATAAGTTAGGCATAGCAAGAAGTTAGCAGCAATACCTAATAATAAAATAGAGCAGTTGTTACAGTGTACTGGTACGACTACCTTGAGCGTCAAGGCTGTTATTAAGTAAACTGTATGGGGTACTTGAATGCAAGCACTGCAACACTGACAGGAGATCTGAGCATGAGCCAGCTAACTACAAGTAACACATCAGTAGGTACCGTCTTTGGATGTGCTGGGCAAAGACAGGGTTTGTGTCTCACGTGGGTCAGAGAGAGATGGCATGAGATTTCATCATGCTCTTTAGAATGGCATACAATTTAACACGTATGACTTGTTTATTTTAGAACCATCCATTGTTTATTTTTAGACCACAGGTAGCTGAAACCATGCAACGCAAAAAAGAGGATAAGGGGGGACTGCTGTGCTGGCGTTCCAGGTAGAGAGAGGTTGCCAGTGCCAAGCCCTAAAGCAGGAGCAGTGCGATGAAGGAGCAGAGGAGAGCTAGTGTGACCGGAGCCAGAGAATTCTAGGACGGAGTAGGAGGATGAGGGTAAACAGATGGGCAGAGGCAGATAGCTGTCTTTGTAAACCAAGTTAGGAATTTAGAGTTTTAAAACTTGAGGTATAATTTAGATATAAAAATTCACCCTTTAAAAATATACAATTCAGTGGTTTTCAATATGTGTACAAAGTTTACAAAGTTGTGCAGTCTCTGTTTTCAGGACACATCACTCCAGAAGAAAACCTCACACCCAGGAGGACTCCAGGTTTTAAGTGTGAGAGCAAGCCACTGGAAGGTTGCAGCAGGAGAGATAGGATCTGATTGATGTTTTTAAAAGATCATCCAGGCAGCTGTGGAAAATGGGTTCTAGGAAGGGAAGGGTAGAATCAAGGAGATCTGGTGGTCTTTTGCTATTTCTTCAGGCAAAATAATGGTGGCTTGAATTATGGCAGTGGTCATGGTGACTGGGTTCCTGAACCCAGTCAGGAACCTGTTTTATAGGTAGACACAACTTAACTCTGATGTTTTTTCAGTGATCTGAGATGAAGGATGAGTTTCTTAAATTTCTATTCTGACGTAGATTGAAACTTTAGGAAATTACATAATTATAAGTAGAGACAGTGTTTCCAGGGGACATGGCTAAAGCCTGTTGGTCAAGAGCGGCATATGGAATGCTTCTAGTCTATGCCAGTTTTTGTATCAACTTCGTGGATTGATCTAGAAAAGCAGCTGAAAATACCTAGAAAGGGAAATAGATTGTTCAGAACTTTGAGTAAGCAGCTTTTTTTTTTTAAATAAATACTTTTCTAAAAGGAAATTTAAAGTTAAAAAAAAAAAAAAACGTTGAAAGAGGCTAAGAGCAGACTATTCATAAATGGTGAGAAACTGTTACAACTCCAGATGCCCAAGACCTGCTCTTTGAGGACATTTCTGCTTCCCCTAGGCAGGCCTCTCATTTATTCCTCTGGTGCTACAGAACTGAGTGTGCCTCTGTTGTGCTGCTTGAGACAGAGTCTGTACTGACTCAAGTGCAGGCTGTTTTCTGACCTATTAGAGTGGGAGTACAGAGGACCCTTCCTTCATCTCTTACTTATCTCTGCAGACTCCTAACACTCCACACAGTGCTGGCATATGTTTTCACATGGGAGCAAAGACTACATAAATAATGAGCACATTAACATAGTGGAATACCTGGCAGTTTTAAAAGTAACAGATACACATTACATCTTGTATATAAAATAATATTAAACCAAAAATAATAGTTGCAAAATAATACAAATACCAGTTATTGTATAAATACTATATAAACTAAATATACTAATAAAAACTTAGCTGGGAAGCTTTAACACCATTTTTATATAAATATTCTCAACTTTCAGTAGACTAAAAGTTAAAGAAAGCACATTTTTAAATTTGAAATTAAAGTTGAGGCTGGGCTTTGTGACTCATGCCTGTAATTCCAGCACTGGGAGGCCAAGGCAGGCAGATCACTTGAGGTCAGGAGTTTAAGACCAACCTGGCCAACATGGTAAAACCCTGTCTCTACTAAAAACATAAAAATTAGCTAGGCATGGTGGTGGACGCCTGTAATTCCAGCTACTTGGGAGGATGAGGCAGGAAAATCACTTGAACCCGGGAGGTGGAGGCCGTAGTGAGCTGAGGTTGTGCAGCTGCACTCCAGCCTGGGTGACAGAGTGAGACTGACTAAAAAAAAAAAAAGTTGAATCAGTTTTGTCCTTTAAGTGCTACAAAGCTGAAAGCCAAATGTCAGCCCAGCTCTAGCAACAGCAAAGTCTTCAAAGCAGTGCATTTTGTGTACTTATTCCTGTCTTTAGCTCACTTTCCTTAATTTTCTTCCTTTAAAAACTTATGTATAGGTATATGTATATATTTGACATGGTTGCAAGACCCCCATTTCTCATTCTTAGTTCTCCTTCCTTTATTTTTCTTCTTAACATTTCACCCTACCTAATGTACTCTAGATTTCACATACCGGTTTTGTATCTTTCTTTTCTCACTAGAATGTAAACTCCATAGAAACAAAAATGTTTTTCTGTTTCACTGCTGTTTCCCTGCAGCCTAGAATACTACTGGATATATAGTATTCAATACATTGTTGTTAAATTAATGAATTATAAATAAATATATATTTGTCTATTTATATATATATGTGTTATTTTCTTCAAACTCAATAATTGACTGAAAATATTTGATCTGTGTACCAGGCATTGGGGTGGAATGGTGAGCAAACAGCCCTTAATGGTGCTTTCACCAACAAACGTCTACTGTGCACTATTATAGGTATTGGAGACAGAAGGGTAGACAAGGGAGGTAGGCTGTCACAGAAAATGAGGATCAAGGTAGACCTCCTTGAAGGAGTGATTTATGAGTAGGAGCCTATCACATGAGGGGAGCTAGGGATACAGGGAATGCCATGTTGGAAAGGCTGGTAGTGAACTAACAGGTAAGAGAGACACTTCTTGGACACTTCTTTTTTTTTTTAATAGGATCTCACTCTGTTGCCGAAGCTGGAGTATGGTGATGTGATCATGGCTCACTAGAACCTCAAACTCCAGGGCTCAAGCAGTCTTCCTGTCTTCACCTCCCAAATAGCTAGGGCTACAAGCATGTGCCACTGTGCCCAGCCCTTCTTAGACATATTTAATCTGTTTAGTCAGGAACTTAAGAGAATCATTCAGTAATTGGCTAAATAGTCCAACATAAAGGTTAAAAGAATAATAGATATGATCAGATTTATCATCCTTAAAAATATGCAAGAAATAGAATATGCTTAACTATTTCTTGTCTTTGAATTACGAGATTTTCTTAAAGCATTTACTCTGCTCTATCAGTATATAGCTCTTATTAAAACATTTTCTTTTTAAAAATACAGATTTGTTGAAGAGGACCATATTCCTTACATAAATGCTTTTCAGCATTTTCCAGAACAGATGAAATTATATGGGCGTGACAGAGGAATCTTTGGTACAGAGGTAAGTTATTTTCTTTTTTACTTTCTAGTCTCTATTAAGAAAAGAGTGGTATAGTGATTTCTATTTTTTGCTTGACTTATTATTTGGTGTTGGGGCTTTTAAAAATGTAATCTGGTTTTATGTTCTATCCAAATATGGAATATCAGTCATAATTTAATGAAGAGTAGAATTATTTTTTATTTTCCTTATGTGGATTCCTCTAATCCTTTAGATTATCCTCAGAATATAGCTGTAGTATGATATGTTGAGACTAAACTTGAGAACTTTTATATAGAGACCTTTAGGTAATTTCAAAAAAATTTTTTTTTAATAAAAGATGTGTTTTGTGGGCCGGGCGCAGTGGCTCACGCCTATAATCCCAGCACTTTGGGAGGCTGAGGCAGGTGGATCACGAGGTCAAGAGATCAAGACCATCCTGGTCAACAAGGTGAAACCCCGTCTCTACTAAAAATACAAAAATTAGCTGGGCATGGTGGTGCACGCCTGTAGTCCCAGCTACTTGGGAGGCTGAGGCAGGAGAATTGCTTGAACCCAGGAGGCAGAGGTTGCGGTGAGCCGAGATCGTGCCATTGCACTCCAGTCTGGGTAACAACAGCGAAACTCCGTCTCAAAAAAGAAAGATGTGTTTTGTGTTGTTATTTGCACACTATATTGCTATGGAGGAAAGAGAAGAAAGTTTTTACCATGTTTCTAAAGGCACTATTTTAAGTTCTTCACTTATGTTAGTTTATCTTTTTCTAGATCTGTTTTCCGATGTCTCCAATGGAAGGATTTCTGTTCTTTGATTATGAGTTTATGTCACTATTGATGGTACTTAAAGGTTATTCCCCTTGGTTCTCATCAGAAGTTTTTTGATGTACTAAATAGTAAATACTTTCCTCCATTTACCTCCTTAAGGAATTATTTTCATAGAACTTCATGACCTTGACATTGTTGGCAGTGGAAGAGTCACTTGTTGAGTGCTGTTTAATAGTGGTCTGACTTTGATGAAAAGTAACTTCTATTCAGATTTCCATCCTTTGATGTTCAACTTAACGTGGAGGTATATCCCTTTCCAGCCTGTTAGTGTTAATATAATGCAGACACAAAGTGAAATTGCAAATTTTGTGGAAGTTTCAGCATGAAATATGTTGTCTTTGAAATTAATGTAGGAGAAGTGCTTGCAAATCCATTGACAAACACAGATCTGACAGAATTAGAGAATTTACAATTGAAGAAGAGAAAATCAAGTAGGTGCTTAAAGCATTTAGAGTGCTCCTGGCAGAGCTCATAGAGCCCCTGAGTATTTTGTAAAGTAATTCTCTTTGTAGTTATGCTATATTATCAAAGGCAATAGGAAGGATGTCATATTGTTACGGGATCTTTGGGGTGCTGTTTTTCTGGCTGGAAGCCTTTGTGGCTTGTGGTACCTTTATCCAAATTTTGCTCAGGCCCACTAGGCTCATTTCACCCACTCTGCCTGGCAGGCTGTGCTTGGCACACACTACCTGCATGGGTCTCATGCCTGCCAAGGGCAAAGTCAGGCATGGAATGGTGAGGGGTGTCTGAGCAATCGTGGGGTCTGGCCATGCCACCTGCTGCAGCAAGGCAGGCAGCTCCAGGTGCCAGCATGGTTGCCAGCTCTCCCTAAGCCTGTGGTCAGACCAGTCACATTGCAAGCAGTTTCTGCGGCTGGCACTGGGGAATATGGTGGTGCCTGGGAGCTTGGAGATGCCAAGAACCACAGGGCCTCAAAGAGGGAGCCACAGCCTTGGCTCAGGGACCTCCTGGGTCCCGAGCTCCCTGGACTCCCCGAAGGGCTATAGCTCATCTTTCCTTCTCTTTGTCCGCAGCATGGCGAGCAAGGGGCATGTCTCAGCCCTGTTTGTGTTACAACGGTTTTAGCCTCGCCATTCTGTAGGTCCTGAGTTCATGTCCTGCAACTAGGAAGAATGAGGTACATTGATAAGTGGAGGGTGAGCAAACTGAAGAGGAGCTTTTTTGAGTGATAGAACAGCTCAGTCTCCCACAGAGGGCAGCTCCTTTCTGCAGCCAGGGTGTCCTGATGAGTGTTTAGATCCTAGTAGAAAGGAGACTCTGGAATGGAAAGCTCCTCTCTGCAGGCAGGTCATCCTGTCGTTTCCTCAAATCTCAGCAGAGAGAAGGCCCTGGAGCAGGTTGCTTCTCTCTAAAGCTGGTCATCCCTTCTGAGTTGGGGCAGGAGTTGCCCACTCCAAAGGAGCTGTCACTCATAGTGACCCACATGCTAACTCAGTGCAAATTCTGCCAGTATTTAATAACCTGAGATAAAAAGTGTTGTGGTATGTTTCATGTCATACAGTTGTATTTGTAGTTATCCATTTCCTTCTTGCTCAATGCTCCAAAATTAGTACTTTATAGAAGTATAGTGTAACAAATTCTTACTGCATCTTCATAGAACCTATTTAAGTGTTTGAAGAACTAAGATAGTGAGAAGGGTAGAAAAGTCGGCAAATAGGCTAAAAGATGATACAATGAGTAAAAAGCCTAAACACTGTAGTTCTAAGTCAGACTACCATCTGTGTGACCTTGGCAAGACATTCTGTCTTTCTGAGGTGTCTGCTTATATGTAAAATTGGAACATCAGCTGTACTATTTATCATGCAGAGGTTTAGCAGGGATCACATGAGATCACAGATGTGAAAGAACTTTGTAAACTATACATGACACAAATAGAAGCTGGCACTGGTACAGAAAGAGTAATTGATTCTCCACATGAAAAACGATAAAGGATATTATATAAATGTAATTAATTAATGGTTTATTTTGAATTAGATTTTTAAACCGAAACTGATTTCGCCCTCAGAACAACTTAAGTGGGAGCAATTTCAATAGATTTGGAGAGCAGAAAGCAAGCCTGGACATTTGCTTCCCTAACTCTAGGTGTATGTCTTTATGTCTTCATAGTCATTCAGTTTTCCTAGAGTGACTAGTAAAACTAAGTTATCGCTTTTGCATTAGCTATCAGCTTTGTCTTGGTTAATAAAAATTTTTTTTCTTCTGTATATCTCCCTTTTTTTCTCCCCACCTCCCCTTCCTTCCCTCCACTTTCTCCTTTTCTCTCTTAATTTCCAAAAATTCTCAGAGACATTCACTACTCAATTTTTGCTTAGTTAAGGTTATTTGTATGTTTTGCTAGTGCCTGAAATCATCATGTTGTTATCTTTAACTCACTAACCAAGTTACAAGCTTCTCAGGAACAAACACCAGAATACTTTATGTAGGTAGAATCATGGAATATTAAAGCTGGAGGGAAATTTGGAAGTCATTTAGTCCAATTTTCTCATTTTTCAATAAGGAAACAAATCTAAGAAGAAATATACCTTTAGAATAAGTAAACCTATTCTTCATTAGGGTTTTTCATGAGGATTATTTGAGATAATATATTCAAAATGCAGACATATTGCAGATATTCAAATGGCAGTAGGCTCCCTTCCATATCCTAGGCTGGAAAAGCTTTTCCCCCAAGATAGGGATTAAGAGGGTAATCAACCTGCTTGGATTTAAAAAAAAAAAAAGAAGATACCATTTTGGAAAATAAAGTTTTCATTTTAGATTCTGTTAACTTTTTTTTTTTTTTTGAGACAGAGTCTCACTCTGTCACCCAGGCTGGAGTGCAATGATGGGGTCTTGGCTCACTGCAACCTCCACCTCCCAGGTTCAAGCAATTCTCGTGCCTCAGCCTCCTGAGTAGCTGGGATTACAGGGACGTGCCACCACGCCCAGCTAATTTTTGTATTTTTAGTAGAGACAGGGTTTCAATATCATGGCCAGGCTGGTCTTGAACTCCTGACATCATCCACCCACCTCAGCCTCCCAAAGTGCTGAGATTACAGGTGTGAGCCACCGTGCCCGGCCGATTCTGTTAACTTTTGAATGTGTTCATTTCTAGGTTTTCTCTTCATCTGCAGTCCAGAGCTCTACTTCTGAGCTATACCTCGTCCTTCATTTCTAGGTTTTCTCAAATTAGGTCCCAGGAGGCCCATGGATATGGGAAAGGATAATGTATCTTGTTTCTCATGATGGTATTATTTTATAATTTCGGTTACCATATATTCGACTTTTTGCAAAGGATATCATTTCCTGCGCTGAGTTTATATGCTTGTAAATGGTATCTAACCGATAATTTCCTTTTAAGAAGTTTAGTTTCATTTTAAATATACTCACATAGACACTCAAATTTCGCTATTTAAAAGTAATTATTTTCAAAAATTTATTTTCTGTGTTCTTTCAAATAGTAATAGATCCCATTATTACTAAATGTTTAGGGGACTGCAAGAGAGAGTGATAATACACCAAATTAAAAGACTGTTTCTGTAATAACCACGGTGGCTTACATTTCTCAGAAGCCTAGCATATGCCTTTAGTTAAGATTTACATTACTGTCTGGGCACAGTGGTTAACGCCTGTAATCTCAGCACTGTGGGAGGCCAAGGCAGGTGGATCACAAAATCAAGAGATCGAGACCATCCTGGCCAACATGGTCATACCCTGTCTCTACTAAAAATACAATAATTAGCTGGGCATGGCGTCGCACGCCTGTAGTCCCAGCTACTTGGGAGGTTGCAGTGAGCAGAGATTGCAGTGAGCTGAGATTACACCACTGCACTCCAGCCAGGTAACAGAGTGAGACTCCATCGCAAGAAAAAGAGAAAAAGATTTACATTGCCCACTTATGGGCAGTGTGATTAGAAGTGCCTACAACTGTAATAGTTGCATTTATTTCTGATGGTGATTCAAGGTTTCAATCTGAAATATTATTTTCTCGGTATTGTATCACATCTAAACTTTTATTCCTCTTTTAAATTTTAACAATTTGAGACAAGTTTTGTAAATTAAGAGATGAAATGAGTTATGTTTATTTAATCTGAAACCATTCAAATACTAATTTTTACTCATCCTATCAATTACTGAGAGAAGAGTTTTGACATCTCCAACTATGATTGCAACTTTTTCTTTCACATCCTATCAGTTTTTGCTTC